CCTAGTTATAACTTACAATATTTCTAGATCGTACTAAACAAAGTGATATGTAAATGGAAATTTCTTTTACGGTTTAAATTTTAAATTATATTAAATTATTAAATAAAAATAAAATTTAATATTAAATTTTTAAAATTTTATAATAATCAAATATAATTTAAATTATATAATACTTTTTCCTATATATATACTTCTAGTTAAAATTTTGTTGCAATAAATTAAGTGCCTCTAAAACTTGCTTAATTATAAGGTTTTAATTAACAATACATGACATGCTGTTTCTTCTCACGTGGCTGATCCGTACCACAATGAAGTATTGCATGTCCAAGCGTTACCTCATCACCATTTTGATTTTATTTTTAATCTTTTGGAGTTTGAATGCCTCATCACCAATTGAAACTAAGAATACCCCACAATCAGGCCTAACAACAATCAGGCCTAACAAGTTTGGAAGCATTACGTAGGAATTGAAGACATTTTTTTCCATAGTAGGATGTGGGGTTTGGAACCGCCGGTCAAGGCAGGATCCTCTAGATTCAAACTTAATGTCAATGTTACGAAATTTATGCGCATTAAGAGAAGTGAAAATTACATAGGAGAGCATTTCAATGAAATAAATAATTTAGTTGTTATTTTTTTATTATAAATAAAAAATTTTAAATTTAAGACTAATAAGATATAACACGTGGATGGAGAAGAGGAAATAAAGAATGGGAATAAAAAATAAAAAATAATTGTTTCTATAATTAAGATTAAAAAAAAATAATAATAAATAAAGAGGAGGAGAGCAGCTTTTTATCATTAAAGCACACTTAATTAAACACATCCGAACAATCAAAACAAACAACGAGTTGTTTATTTCGAAAAAAAAAAAAAAACCAAACGAGTTGTTCTTGTCAACATTAACTATCAAGTTTGAATGCTTTTTTTTGGGTATATCTTTTAATTTAATATTTTTTATTTAATTATTAAAATATAATATAAATATTATTAATTTATTAATTTTTATATATTATA